CATAACTGAAAACAGAAAAACATTCATTAAACCTTCATCTAAAGAAAACATAATATTACTTTAACTACTCAACTATGGATTGGCATTCTTCATTGCTATCAAAATATATATATATTTATATCGATTTTTTCTACAAATCCATAAACTAAACAATGAACATAAATGCTCCTTCCAAATAAATCCATACTTAGTGTTATCTTTGATGTAAATTCATCGAATTTAAAGCTTTTCATAGAATTACCTTTAAGGCAACCCTCCACCCTGCCAAAACTCTTTAAACTACCATTATCCCTAATTGATATTATTGCAGCAAGCCTATGAGAAGCAGCTCTCCTTTGCATAACCTCAAATTAATAATTCCTAACTAGTTTCGGATGTTCCTGCATTCCCCACTCGCCATCAGATACATTTTTAAAGGAATCCCAAACGCCGAAGCGCGGAGGAGGACCGCAGGAGGCCCGAAAGGTTGGCGCGGGACGACGAGAGCTTCCTCACTTCATTGCTGCATGAATAATATTCGTAATTTGTCAAAAGGTTGGCCAAATCCCAAAATACAAAAACAGCAGCGGCCCAAACAGAAGATGAACGAAAAAATGGAATCCGAAAACAGAGCTGCGATTGAGCCACAAGGCCCCCGGATGCCTCTCCCATGTCCAGAACTCCAGAACTGACCCATCTCCGAGTGCCGAGGCCCCCAAGGACCTTTGGCGAGCTGTTGCCATTATTTTGCGCTCCTCAGCTGGCCACAAGCCCAGGGGCGGAGGCGTGGAGAAAGGGGGGTGGCTCTGCCGAAATAAAAGCGAAATTTCCTCTTCGCATTTGCTGCGCTTTATTAAACTTTTCCACCCAACACCACAGAATGTTTGCGGGTGTGTGTGGTTGTGGGTTGGTGGGTGTGGGGCTGTGGGGCTGTGGAAATCCCCAAAGTTCCTGTGTCATTTTTTGTGCTTCACGTTGCTCAAATTTTTTGACAGACCCTGTCAGAGGGGTGAGTTTTCCTTACATATATATGTACGTTTTCGTATATATTTAGAAAAAATCTTCACGCATTTGGCAAATTATCTTTTGATCCGTCCGCTTAAATTGCCAGCAGCAAAAAAATCAAGAAAAAGTTGTGGTCCAGCGATTTGGACTTTCGAATACCTTGTACTCCTCCTTGTCAGACTTATTGGGGGATGTATATAGAAGATCGCATAGGGATGTGCGTTTCTATATATATTTATGAAGTGGTTTTACCCTAATATCTATATTTACAGGTAAAAGGTGGACTAACGTGCCAAAGAACATCAATAAACTTAAAAACTTACTGGAAAATTATACTTACTAACCGACCTATTCGATAAACATTCCAAATAAATGACTTAAACTTTCAAAGATTCCAAGTAAAAACCTTTTAAAAAATACAAAATAGCCCCTGAAACTCCACAAGTACGAATATAGGGTATGAGAATCCTGAGGAATGGCTGAGGAAAATACGTTAACACAATTTCACTTTGGGTGGACACATCTAAGCCGGGCCAATCGTCTGCCTAAGTAGTTGTCCTCCGCCCACCGCCCGCTGTCGCTCTTGTGCCATCGAAAAGTAGTTTGCGCGCAAATCCTCAAGTTAAGCAAAACTCTCCAGGACATTAAGTGCAGCGCCAACAGACAACAAAGTCCAAGGATGGCAAAGTTTCCTTCGAGCCCCTCGCTTTCCTCGGATCGCTGGAAACTGCCAAACGGATGATGGCCGGGATCAACGTTTTACCAAAGCCAGGGCAAAAGTTTTTCCAGCAGACAACGTGCAACTTTTTGGCCAGCGGGAAGTTCTTTTCATTGTCTTGAACCCCACTGACAGCTTCCAAGGGGCAGAGGAGTGGAAACTGTCGCTTATAATGCGCACAATGAAGTGCACTTTTCCTACTCCTGCCCAGCCCAGCCACTGGCTGCCCAGAATTGAAAAGTGCTCAGCTTTGGCTCCGCTGGCATAAATATTTCCATTTTATGTAAGCGAGAGATTTCCCAGGCAATCAGAGTGAATCACAATGAGCGGCCCTGACAGCGCCAATAAAAAATGCATTTATTCGGGTAAAACGAAACTGCAGTTTTGGTGGGCAAAGCAGGAAGTTTTCTAGTTTTGATAGGCAACCCGCTAATTTAACAACTAACATAAGCAAAAACCATTTTAAGAATGTGCTTAGCTTTTAATATCTGCAAATTATCACAAAAGCGAAGTACTCCATGTGGCATTCCTACTCCCTGCATAAGCCACCAACTTTGTGGGGCATTTGTTTTCCGTGTGTAAATGAGTACGGAGGAGGCCAGGCAAACACTTGTTGCAAGAATTTGTTGACTGTCGCTTAAATTTATGACCCCAAAACTCGAGGACCGCAAAAAGAGCCAGCAGCATCCGAAGGATTTGGCTTGGACTGCAAGTTTTCCTCCTCGCCCCACCAGCAAATTATCAAATGGCAGCCCGACAGCAAGGGGAAAGGCGAGGAAAGCGGCGGAAATCGAGTTGAACTTGGTAAATATCAAAACAACATTAAGGCAGGAGAGCCCAGCTGAAGGGCCAAAAAGGGGGCTCCAAGCCCCATTGTGCTGACTGCCATCCATGAGTTACAACTTAATTGAAACGGAGTTTCGTTTTCCCTGCACTTTTTTCTCCTTTTTCCAGCATCGAAAGAGACCCCGAAGTGACTCTTCTCGCCTTGCCCAGTCACGATCGGAACCTTTGTGGCACCTTTATCTTTTATTTGTTCGCCTTGGTTGTTGCCTAATGCACGCTTGAAAAATGTCCAGGCGTTAAGTAGTTGCAATCGAGTTACAGTGGACGAGTTGAGATATGGAAGGAGGTTTAGGCAGTCTGCGTAAATATTCAAATGGCATGTTTTAAAGATTTGGCTTTAGGAAAGTTTATACTTTGTAAATTAGTAGCATGATTTTTATGTTACTAAGCGCCACCTCCTTTTCCCGCTTTGTTTTAAACAAATGACTAAGTGGTACCTTTTAATCCTAGACCAAACCTGCTCTTGCCCATCCCTCAATGTAAACCTCTTCCATTTGGCAAACGCCTCAGGCCTTTGAGCAATTTTCGATTATTTGTCCCACTGTCTCCGACTATTTATGGGCTATGCAAAATGCAGAAGAGAGGACGGGCTGGGCAGGCCCAGGGAAAGACTAAAAAACCTAAGCAGAAATAAACTCGTATGCATTTAATCATCGTAACTTAAGCTCGGGGATCATGTTGTGGCACAGTGAGAATGCCGCAGTTGCCGCCGCGGGAGATGCGGACCGAGCTTTGGGCCAACTCCAGCTTTAATTCTGCTGCCAGCAGCCAGCAGCCAGCAGCCCAACCCCTCTGCTCATCCTCTCTGACCGCTTCATTTTTAATAAAGAAAAGAAGTAAAAAATCCAGCAGAAAATATATAATAAGAGAAAAGAGGGGAAAACTTCATGTCACCGTGGCCTGGCGGTTGCCTGGCTGCTCTTCATTTTTTAAGGCGCGTACTTTTTGCTTGAGTTTTTTTCTTCGGTTACTTTTTGCACCGCTGCAGAGGCGTAGAGGGAGGGGATTAAGACGACGGAGTGGCCACTGCGGAGTGGTGCTATGAATGGAGCCTCGGCGTGTTCTGGAGATTAATAAATTGATGGCATCCATTGCACATAACGTGTAACTAATGGCGCTCATCAATTCTGCTTTACATCTCAATCTGGCTTTGGCGAAAAAGCGAAAAAATACAGCCGGCAACAAACAAAAAACCACAACAGGATCGGGAGTTGGGGATATGGATGGGGAGAGCTGCTTGGATTTGGTAATGACCCAGGAGCAGGTCAGCTGGCGGATAGCGGATGGCTGATGGCGGAAGGTGGAAGGCGGATGGAATGAAAAGGACCAACCACTTGAGGCCAGCTCTCACTTTCTCCCGGGGAAAAGTGAAAGGCCAACGGAATTCTATATTTGGAAGGGCCTCGCCTCCGCATCCTTACAGCAATTTCCCTCGAAAGGCGGACGAAAACTAACCCCGCTTATGCAACATCCTTTGAGGCTAAAGCCGAACCACATGCAGTCTGTGTGTGCTCTACTTTCTAGCTCTCATTAGTTACGCCTCGGGTTTTTGGCAAACCTTTTCCTGACAGGATTCGGGTCTATTGTCAATTTGCATTAGCTGCCAGGACCGCCTTCTGTGCTGAGATCTCTTGGGCAAGCGGAACCCGAGGAGCACCTCTTCCGCCACCTCTTTCGTCTACCACCTTTCATCTGCCTGCATTCATCGATTTTGGGACTTGGGAAATTCGCAAATTTGAAAGAATGTCAGGTATCGGGATGTCTTTGCAGATGGATTACGGCTAATGTCGAGCAATTGGCCAAGGCAATAAAGTGAAATTGCCGGGACGTGTCAAGGTCGTCGTCGTGAGGCAAATGTCAACACGTTCAAAAATATTGTGCAGAAAGAGTTTAGGAATATTCAGAATTTTAAAATATATTCAAAAACTAAAAATAAAAACATCCCTCAATGAAATATTTTGATTTTATCTAGCAGTTTAAATATTATAAATAAAATATTTGTATATTCTATCATTTTACTGACTTTAAATATGTGATTACCTGTTATTTTTAATAAAAAATAAATAAATCAATTTAATTTTAATTTGTTAAATAAATTTTGTAAGACTTAAAGACTTGACTTGAAAAATTTTTAAATTAAAAGGACGGCTACTTTATCTCACTGCTTGTCGACTTTGCTCAGGCAACTGCTTGCTCGTCGATCTGTTAGTAAGCAGTAAACACATATACAAGCAGTTTTAACTGCTTGTGGACTGCTTCGATTTACGATATTCGCTGTAAAAGTTCTAAAAATAAAATCTAAAATAACAGCTCTTGCCGTTGTATGCACTCAATTACGTTTCTAATGGGAACTACGATCAACGCTTTACGGGGGACTAACTACAGCAACCCACTACGATAAGAAGAAGAAAAATTCCACTTAATACGTTTCGTGGAATTGTCGATCACTTTCCTTGACACTTACCAAACTGACTTCGCATCCAGGGATACAGTGGAGACGGCATCCCCGAGGACTGCGAGTTCGGGTTTTGGGAAGGGGGCGTGTGTTGGCCAGGATGTCCTTGGTGCATCTGGGGCGGGCCCTGGCCCTGGTGCATCATGCCTTGCGGTGGTGCTCCCACCGGCGGTACTCCCGTCTGCTGCTGGTACATGCCCATGTTGTGATGGTTCTGATGGACCTGTTAAGGGTTAATGCTCAGATTAGTTATATAATTTTATTAACAAGGGGAACTTCGAACCATCCACCACTGCGAGGGGGTTAGTCCTTGTGTCTTTGGGTGTTGGAGACAAGCGGAATGCGGACTTGATCTTACCTCTGTCACGTCGGGAACTCCCACGTCCGTGTAGCCCAACTGCGGGTGCGAGCAGCGAAAGCGAAGGTGAAAGAGATGGGAAAAGCGTTAAGTGGTTGGCGAAATATGCAGGTGGGTTAAGGAGTTCTAAGTACGGTTAACTTGAAGAAGTATATAAACTAATAAGGAATAGCTTAAAGTAAACTAATAAGAATGTATAAGAACTAGCAATGAAGGCTTGATAAAGAAAACTTTTAACTTAATAATAAAATTTCCTACTGTAATCTCTTGAGGTGTTAGCAAGGTGTGTTTAAAATAAACCTAAGTATCTATAAAAAGCTTAAATTTGGCTTATAATCATAGTAAGTATCTTTTAAAACCCTTTTTAAATAAATATTAAAACAGAAAGTATAAAGAATATATTGTTATCATAAACCATTATTTCTTATGATGGATGATGGTTATCCTTAAGCGTCAAAAGATGTTCATTCTACCAAAGCACTTTGCAACCTTGCCCCTTAACCTTACTACCAAAGCAACCATTAAAAGGATCCCTTCTCACCTGCGCCTGCGGATGACCCATGTGGTGGGGCAGCGACATCTGGGCGTTCATGTGGTGGCCGGACATTTGATCCACCAGCGGAGGCGATCCGCCCTCAGGAACCATGCCCAGACCGCCGACGGCCGCCTGCAACTTGCAGCTGGCGTAGACCACTGGCTGCTGCTGTTGCTGCTGCGGATGTGTCACCTGTTGCGTAACCTGCGGCAGCTGCTGCTGCAGTTGCTGTTGCGGGGCCTGCTGCGCCTGCTGCTGCTGCTGGTTCTGCGAGGGCTGTTGCTGCTGCTGCTGTTGCTGCTGGGGCACGCCCAACTGGCCGTTGGTCTGGGCCTGGGGCATGACCCCGCCCACCTGGCTGGAGGGGCTGTCCGGGCGGGAGTAGACCTGGTGCTGCTGCTGCTGCTGGTCCATTCCCTGGCCGTTGTAGTAGGGCATGCGGTCGTAGGGCGGGAAGCGCGGGTAGGGCATGTTGCCCTGGTGATTCGCGTTCTGGCTGTAGTGGTGCATCTGCTGGGCATCCAGGTCGGTGACCCCGTTGCCCGGGTAGTGGCCATGGTGCATGTCCGCCCCCATGTACGAGTTGGTGAAGTACGAGGTCATGCTCTCGCAGTTGTTTGTACTCATCGTCATCGTGGCAGCTTCCTCAGCGTCAGCTGATCCCGCCGCGAGTCCTGATCCTGGAGTGAACGTGATCGTGACTGTGACTCTGCTTAGTGGCTAGTGACTGTGGTGCTCCTGCCTCCTGTCTCCGTGCTTTTAGCTACTTTCCGTATATACAAAGTAAACTGGAATATAGAATGTAGTGATTATAGTTAATAAATCGGGGGATATATCTTACTCCTTACCCACCTAAATAACCTTTGAACCTTAAGTACAATGTACAGTTGCGTAGCCTAGTCTTAGTTAGTGTGTAGTCGTGGTGTGAGGTATAAAATGATTTCCGCTTTGCTGTTCCTCTGTTGCTGTCTTGGCCAAAAGTGACGAAATTAACCTTTTCGATTTGCTAGAAAATCCCTCTCCTTGGTGTGCTTTGATCCTTACGTAGCCTTATCCTCTAGTTGGTATTCCTCAATTTTGATTTTGAAACTCTGCAATGGGAATGGCGAAATTTCGGGTTATTGCTGGTCTTCTCAGCTCAAAGTTTGGGTTTAAAGTGACGTTTGTAGTGTCTGATTTCACATGTTCAGAGAGCTGGGAGCTGGGAACTGGGAGCTGGGAGCAACATGTGGAGTCCGGTGACAAATGGCTTATCGTATGCATGGCCAAGTTCTTAAAAATGTGCCAAGAAGTCGGATTTTGGGAATTGGGAGGGTTTGTGGGGTGATTCGATACGCATTTACTTTTAAGTTCGCCGACTATAGTCAAGATCAGTTTCCTATTATCATGTTATATAAGTTTTTTACATGCTATAAAGTATTTTATGCAAACCTGGCAACTCTTCCATAGCAGAAATTCCGCAAAGCCAAGCCAAGATGACAATGCCCCCCTGGTAACTTTCGTAATCCTCAAACCAAGGATCTTCCACTGGCATGCGAGTGAACCACCCTCCACCCCCCTTGACAAGTTGACAACATTCATTGAATTTATGAATATGAAATCAATTGTGTTATCCCCTTTTGACCTGACATCCTTCCGGTCAAAGTGATTTAATTTCCTGGCTCATTATCACGAGTCTCTGACCTCATAAATCACAAAATTTCCCTCTCCAGCGCCGCCTTGGATAATCCAGACGGACAGACACAGGCAGAGAGAGGGAGATGGCGACACACGTTCCCTGCCAAGCCATGCATATTCACATGTCTGTCCTGCTCTGGCCGAGCCAGAGTCTGTGGTGATGGTGACAACCCTGCCGAAAATCCCCAACTAACTAACGTTAACTTGCTGTCGGAAATGAAACTTCCCCGACTTGCACAAAGCATGAAACCCCAAACAACAACAACAACAACTACAACGAAAGAGGGAATAATAATAAAATAAACGGAACGGTAAACTTTAAAATATTTCTGTCTTGTCTCTCCCTCTCCCTCTCGCTCTCGCTTTGCATTGTGTTCGTCCTCCTGCCGCTCTTCCTCTTCTACCCCCACCACCAGCACTCTCCTGGCATTTCCCTCTTTTGTTAACGAAATAATTTTCTTGCCTCCGACGCTGCCAAAGCCAAAAGCTTCCCTTTCAATTACACATTTCCCAATGATGGCGATTGAGCGGGACTTTCGGGATGGGCAAAATGGCGCGAAAGGACAATGGCAGCGGCGGAAGGAAGCCTGCTTTCTCGTTTGCGTGTGTGTGTGTGTGTGTTGAGTGCTCTGTTGGTTAGTGTGTGCGTGTGTGTGCCAGTCGAGGGCCAAACGGATGCTGGCAAATCGCTGGACTGTGCCCCGATCTCTGCCTATATCAGACATGTGGGTGGCCATGGCCGTGGGCGGAAAAGCCAGTGAGTGCCAGTGCCTTGGGGTAGGCAAAGAAACCCACTCAAGCACAAGCGAGATGATAATAATGTCTGATGTGTGTTTTGTCTGTTCTTCCTGTTTTTGCCGCTGCCACTGCCTCTGCGGTTGCGGAGTGGGGCAAGTGCCTGCTCACTGTATGATTTATGTTCGTCTGATGTGATTTATTCAAGCGGAGAAATTGCTCAAATTTGATTTGCCATAACAGATTTAGCCGCACTTTAATTGCAAATGTCTTTGGAATCATATTATATTGATGTTAGCTTTGGTTCTTAATTTTCATTAAAACCCATAATAAGATATTAATGTGTGATATATCTTCTATCTAATAAATTTCTAATTTTTGTTCCTTTATAATATGCAATGCAATAAAACGCCACCTATCGCTAATTCAGGGAACTAACAGCACTACATGTCAAATGTCAAAAGTTCGTCAAATTTGACAGCCCAAAAGTATGCCATGAAATTAGATTATAGGCGGCGCCACCTTACAGAATATCAGCGAACTGTCAGTTGCGTCATTGAAGTTGACGGCTGGTCACAGTGGTGTCCAAATTATATATAAAAAATGATTTGATAGGCCTAATAAAATTTAAAAGTCTATGCAAAAGAAAAGAATAATACAACATTTGACTTAAAAATATATATTAGTAAAAAATAGTTTGGCTAAAATATGTTATGGAATAATATTTCGGATATTTTTTAGGTTTATCTTTTCAATAAATAAATATTTATAGTTTCACTGAATTTCTTTAGGATCGAATGGTTTTGCTTGAAAACAATAATCTCTCATAATAAACTCATCTAACATAGTATCTAAATTTATTTAAGCTCTTTTACCACGTTTCATCCCACTGTGCAATGGCATTTCCCATGCATTCAGGTTCAGCCAAGACATGAACCATAGTTTTAAGCCCAGCCCACTTAGCCACGCACACATTCGCACTGGACACACTCCCGCACGCACACACACACACACATAAAGTGCGCATGCCATATGGGCAGTCCCGTTACCAGTTTTAAGCCACACACCTCGACAGCTGATTGCACAACCGAAAACCGACCAAAAGCAGATCCGTCGGCGAAACAGAGGGCCATCGGACGGGTTATCCATCACTCAGTGCGGAGATTTTACCCAGAATACGGTTAATGAGCACATCAACACTTTCCCATCCCGCTCATCCACTCCCACGCATGCGCCGTCCCTGTCTAACCAACGGAAGAGGAATCGAAATGAACAAAAATGAAATGAAATGAATGACTTCTTTCTTCGGCCATCAACTTCAGCTTCAGCCATTTTGATTTACGACTTCGAGGGAAACTGCGACTGCTCTGCCGTCGCGTGGCTATACTTAGGGAAGAGAAACTAGAGATTTCGATATTTACGGAAATTTCCTAAATATCAAAAATACTTTTAGCCTAAACGGTGCTTTTTGAGATTATAAAAGAAAGCCCAAATATAAAAATAAATCTACACGTCTGCCTGCATGGAACTACCTCTTTATTATATTTTTAATATAAATTTCAAGTTTGAAAGGTTTAATATTTGCATTTAAGCAACTTGAAGGCTTTTAGTAAGTAACTGTTGCTAAGAAACCGAAGAGCTTAACTAGATTCTCAAAATACAGAAACTGAAAGACAGTTCTTAATAAATTTAAGAAGTTTAAGGTTTTTCTCTTTTTGAAATATTTCTTAACTCTGTCAAACTGTACTTAGTTATTGTTGTATTATTAGTATAGTCATTCAAATAATATTATATTTCGGTAAGTGCTGTCCTAAGACCTGTCCTAAGATACTAATTTACATTTTTTAGTTCCGTTATCTGAATACCTTTAAAATAAACCCAACCTACTCAAAATGAACTAAAATGGCAAATCTTTTACACTTTTTCTGCTACCATTTTCCTTTTAGTTAATTCTCAACCGTTAGACGAAGGCGTCGCCCGTCAACTGTCAGTTAATGTTCTCGTTCTGGTTGTTCCTGCTGCTGCCTCCGCTTCGGCTGCTCCCGTTGCCTCTGCCACAACCGCTGCCTGAGTTGCCATTGCTATTGTTGTCGGCATCATTTGAAGAAGGGCGTTCGAGAGGAAGCGGCAACGGTAAACTTATAGCCAGTTAGTGCGTCTCATCTTCAGGTGGGATCAGGAGGGGGAGGAGTGGGAGGTGCTGGGTGGATGTCTCTCAATTAAACCAAGTGGAGAGGAGCGTTCTGCTCGGCTGCGCCAACCTCTGCCGGGGGCTTAAATTGCTGCTTTGCATTTTATTTAAATAATAATTGGCTTGACTAAGTTTTCGCAGCGGTGAAAATGTGAAAATGTGTAGAAGGGGAAGCTGGTGGGAATGGGCGAAAGGTGGAACGCATATAGTTGGCCTTAAAAAGCCGTCAAGTTGTAAGAGAATCTTCACTCCAATTAGGAAAAATCACACCAGAAACTCTAAAGAATGTGCAAATTTAATTAGCTGCGCTCTTTAGAAATGAGGCCAGAATAAATCAAAGATACTATCAAATCCCATAACCAATTAGAGATGAAAATGATTGCCATGTTTTCCTCTATCACCATGGTTCAGAATATATGTTTTCCACTTTTCACCCAAACAAACATTTCCCAAATGACCTTGAAATCAGGCGTACTCAATCCGTCTTCTGCGTAGAATATATTTCAATATAATCACCTGAAGAGGAAGACCCGAAGCACGTGCTCTTTAGGGGGGGCCGAAAATGCCAGAAGAGTTTATTGTGCCATCAACTAAAAGAGCAAATAAAATTTTATTACCACTATAAATTTCAGGCACTTGAAGCGGCGCACCAAAAACAGAGGCAAGCGCAGAACAACAACAAGAGAAAAGCCTGAAAAAAACCCTACAAAAATGCTGCAGAGGCGCAGCTAACAAAATTTAAAGGGGCTATTAATAAGTATAAGTATGTGGTAACAGAAATATCTTCGATTCAGCTCTTAGGGGTTTTAAGGATCCTTAATTTATAAAGAAGATTGATAATCACTTCCCTCAGCCCCTCTTCTACGCCGCCTCTGCCTTGCAGGCCTTGGTCAGGTTCTGGCTCAGCCTGCAGGAGGATAAACCCACGCGATTTGGCGACGGCGGCCAGACAGAGACGCCAAGACCAAGAAGTAGAGGAAGGAAAGGAAACCGGCGACACGGATGAAGGGGGATTGGAGGAAGGGAGGGGGCCTTTAAGGAGCGGTGGCAATCGATGACGAGGGGGCTGCGAGGACGGAGGCCTGCATTTTTCTCACATTTATCTTACTGCGAGTGCTGCGTTTTATTGCGATTGGAAATTGAGCTTGTCAACGCGGCAGCGGGCAACGCTTGGCTAGTCATTGAAACCAGGGGAGTGGGAAGGGGTTCCTCGAGAGGGGTACGAGCTGAAGGGACAGCTGGTCGAGTTTTTGGGTTCCCGGTTCCCGGTTCTCAGTTCTCAGTTCCCAGAGATAATAATAAAAATGTCAGGCTTTGACGATTCTCCTTGTCTTTGCCGTCGGTCCATGAATACAGTGCTGCACTCGGAAAAGCGGAAGAAACTTGAGTTAATATAAGCAGCTAATAGAAAACTGTTAGATAAAACTTTAAATTGGGTTTCTTATGCATGAAATATAAGCACTTCCTCCTTGATAAACAAGGAACTAC